GTCCGTTTTCATTCGTACTGACGGCTTTTTGTCTCGCGCAGATTGAAGAGCTGCACGTGCAGCTACAGCAGGCGGAGGCCGACCGAGAGCAGCTGAGGCAGGAACTGCAGCAGGAGAGAGAAGCTCGGCAGAGCCTGGAGAGCGTCGTCAAGGACCTGCAGGCCCAGCTGGCCCTGCAGGCCAACAGCAGTCCTCCTGGAGACGCCAAGGAGGCGAACACAGACGCACACAGACAGACCACACAAGCCGCCAACGGATCCTAAAGTTGCACACGGACAGAAAGACTCGATCAAAAAAAAACAAAAAAAGAAAAAAAAAGGAGCATGTTTAAGGACTTTATCGCACCTCCTGTTGGGAAAAAAGAAACTCTGCAAAAGTGGGTTTTGTAGAGGAACACATTGTCATATATAATATGATATATGGTATACATGGATGTTATTATGACAGTATGAGATTTTACGAAATGAACTGGAAAGTAGCATGATGTCTGAGCATGTCATAGAGCGTGAAGCTAAGAGAGACTCCTGCAGCGATCAACACATCTTTCCAGTGACGTCAGAGCCCTCAGTTCGACACCTGACGCTGTCCAATGATGTTTTGTTTTGGTATAAGCTATTCTAAGATGTGCAAATATAGCTACATAACACTACTTGAATATGAAGGGAAGAAACATGTCGGCGAAACGTGAGCAGACGATGAAACTCTTGGTGCCACAGAATATTGGTACACTCAAAGGTGTCGTTGCAGACCACTGGAAACAAGAGACACAAGTTTACCACTATTTACTTTTAATATCCGCTTGCTTTTTATAACTGTGTAGAGGATGTACTTTTTAAGAAATATTGCTTGCGCAGCACTGTTATTCCACAGGCGAGAAAAAAGAAAAAGAAAAAACAAACATCCATAAACAAACATGTACGCATGTATACCAGCTTATCTACCTTTTGTATTTTATCAACCTGAAGTATTGGAGGTTCTGTGGGCTGCCTTCAGGTCCACCACTGTTTTATGCTTAGATATTTTATGGAAGTGTTACTTTTCGTCGTTGTTTTCCAGTAATGTTTTGTTTTCTTTTTGCAACCGAACCATGTGGTAAATAGCAGAATCCTTTGCCCACATTAGTCCAGATAAGTCTACAAACACACTCCTAAAAGAAAAAAGAAAAAAAAACTCCAATAGCTGTCTGTTTATGTTGAAATACGGTACTTCTGATTTTCTACGGAGTATTGTAAGATAATTTATATTCTACAATAATTTGCTGCCTATCAACAGAAAGCATTCATTTATAGTCACTGGTTTTAGGGCTCTTAAATCAACAATTGCTGTTTATATGAACAACATTTCTACATATATACAAAATATGGATATATATTTTTTTACTTTAAGAAACGGAATTGCACTTTTTAAAGAAAGAACCTTGCATTGTGCATTGTACTCCCTGTTACATTTTTCAAATCACAAGTTAACATGAACTTTGAATTTAAATACGCTTTCCCTCGGTCTCCTCTGATGTAAATACGATGATATTGTAAATAAGATATTTGTTGGTATGGTATGTTTGCTTGCTCCAGACTTAAACTGATTATTATTTTTTTTGTTTTGTTCTTACTTGAAACCAAAAAGAGACTATATTTGGATTTGGATTCGTCGCCGCTGGTCCCTGAGTGTCGTTACAATCACGGGGCGTTGACCAGAACAGACGGACGGACTCGCCGGTTTAAACCGTCGGGGGTCGTGAACTCGACCTGTCGGTAGTTTCTGACACACCAACAGAATATTATAAATTCTCCCCTTGATTCTTTTTTTTTTTTGAGCAGATCTTTATTATTTGATGAATTATAGAGTTATATATTATACCACAGACCAAAAACCGATAAATGGATTCTAATTCTCCGCACCTCCCCTCGTCAGGTAGAGTAGACATGACGCCTCCTCATGGTTTAAACCTTTAGGTGCTCTCGTATATTTTAGACAAGAAAACACTTTTATGTCTTATCATTATAATACCCTCGCTCAGTATTTGTTGGGTACAGTGTAATAGCAATATCCATTTTGTTAGCTGATGCTGTTGTAGTTTTGGTTTGGAAGTGGGGTTTCACTTGCCTCTTGTTTCAGTGTTTTCTTTTTCCTTCAGAAAACTTGTATAATATCCATTAAAATCTAAATCAATTCTACTGAGGTCTGAGAAGTCTTTTTTTTCTTTCGTTTTCACCGCTGTGGATGTGTGTGTCTGTGTGCTGCTCTTCAGGTAGTCGGTCTAAACTGAAGTAAATAATTTGCACCTACAGTCATGTGGACGCTGAACCGTTGGTTCCTGATCAAACACCTCAGATGTCCTTTGTCGTGTTTTCTGCCCATTAGAAATGTTAGCACGCAAACTCACAGAGGCAAGACGGAAAACACTCGACTGCTGAACATCAGCGTTGTTCCTGCGAGCGTGTTTCAGGTCTGATGTCAGAACATCGCTCAGAGCGCTGCTGAGCCTCACGGAGCTGCAGGCTGTGAACTCGCTGTTTGAACAGACGGAAAATGTCGTTTTGCACAAACCTCTGGTGCAGTGACAGCAACGGGCTCATAAAAGCAATATATGTGGAACAGTTTATTGAACTAATGTACAAATAAGAATAAATAGGCTCCTGAATACAAGGTGTGGCTATTTTAATAATGATGTAATGCTCGCTCAGCGTCAAGTTATTTAACAGCCACACCTCGTACATTTAATAAGAGGAGAGCAACTTCCAAAAGTACAGAAGCAAGAACTTGAGGTTAGGAAATGATTACTTAGGCTGCTAGCACCGTCCTGAAATGTTTGGAAAAATGACCATTCATACGTAAGTTATGCATAAAAACAGCTTCAGTTTCTTTGAAGCTTTTGAACTGATGTTCGCTGAAGGTTCATCCATCATCTCTACACCTTCATCCTCACCAGGGTTATGGGGGGCTGGAGCCTATCCCAGCTGACTCAGGGTGAAGGCAGGTTCACCTGGACAGGTAACCAGTCTATCACAGGGCTACACTTAGAGACAGACAACCAAGCACACTCACATTCACACCTACGGACAATTTACAATCACCAATTAACCTCAGCATGTTTTGAGGGCTCAGGTGGTAGAGCCGGTTGTCCTCCAGTCGCAAGGTTGGCGGTTTGATCCTCCGTCCCTCCACAGTTGAAGTGTCCTTGGGCAAGACACTGAACCTGAAGTTGCTCCCAATGACAGGCAGCACCTTGCACGGCAGCTCTGTCACCATTGGTGTATGAATGTGTGTGTGAATGGGTGAATGAGAAACATTGTTAAGCACTTTGGATAAAAGCACTATATAAGTGCAAACCATGTTTCTGGACTGTGGGAGGAAGCCGGAGAACCCAGAGAGAACCCACGCTGCACGGGGAGAACATGGAGACTCCACGCAGAAAGATCTTCTGCCTGTGAGGCGACGATGCTAACCACTGAACCACCGTGCAGTCCTACAAACATGAAATAAAAATTAGAAAACACAGCATAGTCCTGGTGACACCTGCATAAAATCGATTTTAGTCAAAGTACATGTTGTGGAAAAACGTCCCAGTGTCTTTGAATGTTGTCGATGAATCACGTGTTGTTAAGTTAATACAGGACTGCACTGTTGTTCACCTGTTAGCTGAATACCAGCAGATCTCCAGCCAGTCTCTGTCTTTACAGAAGCGTTTACTGCGTGTTGTAAAAGCTTCTGTTGAGATCTCTGCGTCTGTATTTATGGATTTTTAAAAGACATTTTTCACACCAGTCTGACTCGTCACATAAAGCACAGGTGTGGAGAAAAACCCTCCGGAAAACCGGGTTTACTACCCCGGTGGCATGTGCATGTGTTTATGTGCTACAAGTATGTCATGAGCACATATGTGCACATTTAACCAACCTAAAGAAACACTCGACTTGCAGGGTATCATTATTCTCTCCAACAATCAGCTCCTGGTACGAACTGACAGCATTACAACTTCCTCGTATGCAGCGTGCAGTAGTTTGACAGAGCTGTGAGTGAGCCAGTGTGCTCGAGCAGGAACATCTGTGGTTTATCTCCTCTGATTTGTCGTCATGTCTGCCCCGATGAAGACCCGTCTGACAAACATGTCGGGTCAGTGAGATCATCCGCCTGCCTGACACGCCTCGAAGGTTTTTATTAGCTGTTGTTCAGGAACACCTCTACCTGATGTCAGTTTTATAAGCCCCACGCAGGCATCTTCACTTCTGATGAGTGACGGGTTGAAATTAGAGCTATGTGTGGAATTAGATCACACCGCCAGCAGACGGTCCCGCCCAAACAGGTGCAACAGAACTTACATAAGGGTGGGAAGGTTTTAATGGGCATCGGACAAAATGAATGGAATTAAAGTGAATAATAAATACTCTGTTCTTTTCTGCATTAAGTCCATTCATAAATGTTTTACTGGCTCTGCCCACATGATGAGGCGCATACTGTATATCACTCTGCTGCCTCTAGGGGGAAGTCATTACACACACTTGATGACTGGATCCTTTAAGCTTGTTAATAGCCAAATGACCCATAAATCCTAATGCTGTCTATCAGAGACACTTATTAATTCTGCCATAATTTCTGCATTCTGTAATGATTCTGGCTCCCATACTGGCCGTTAAATGAGAAATTTTGCACCCCTCCTATCTGACTCTCTTCCCTCAGAGGCTTACTGGTTGCGTGAAAATCCCTCCATGAAAGCAAGGCTGAAGCCTCACTCCCAGGATTACAGCTTGAGGAAGATTTAGTTGCACACTTCCTCTCTGGGAGCCTCCTCTACGTGCAAACAATAAATAACGAAGCACCTATGGCCGCCGCTCTGGACCACGGCACACGAGATGAGCAGGAATGAACCGTCGGGATGGGAAGACTGCTCCCTGACCCCATGTGGGACGGCTTTAACTGGACGAGGAGGACATGCTGACGCTGAGAGAAGCTTTAAGGACTTGTTTCTGACGGGCCCAGCAGAGTGAGGTGGGTTCAGGTGAATGGGACAGGAGAACCAAATGTACAGTTCAGGGATGAACATCAGCCCAGCGATGGCACCGACGTCTCCGGGGCTGAGTGGCAGTCCACCGCTGTCCTCTCTGTCCCCTAAGAAGACCACCTTTCAGTCTCTGGGATCTCTGTCGTCAGGAGTGTTCTCGCCCTCGCTGGGTAAGGGCTCCTCTCATGTGGCGAGGCAGGCCTCCTTCGACTCACCCACCCCGTCCATCATGAGCTCCCCAAAGCTCTGGCAGAAAGCGTCCGTCTCCAGGCTCGCAGAGGAGTTCTTCTGGATCGGAGGGAGTGTGGTGGCGCAGCCCAAATGGAGGCTGGGTCAGATAGGTGAGGCTCACTCAGAATAACAACAGGCTGGTCAGCAGGAGCTCCTGCAATCTGCTGTAAACTTTATCACATTATTGGGGCTTTTTTTAAACCGTGCTTTGTGAATCTGAAACATCCACGAGGATCTTTTCTTCCAAATGGCCTTCAAAGTGTTGGAGCTGCACATGAAGCAAAACAGAGAGGCAGCGGGGCAGATAATGGGCATATGGACGGGAGACAATCCTCTAGGATTAGCCTGAATGATGTGTCAGGTTGCGTCACACGTATCAAAGCTTCAGATTACAAACAAAGCTTACCTGCTCCCAGCACACAAAACACTGAACTCCTAACGACCTGAACGCTACGAGAATCCCTTTAGATCTGTTTCTTGCTTTTTTAGTTTAAGACTAGTGGGGAAAAAAACATTTATTCCAAGAAGTGTCAGAGTAGAAAGGAGTCAGGAGAAGTGATTTGGAGTCACTGTGATGAGTTCATGGTGTTGTTCTGTAGAGACTAATCAGTTCAGGATTGTGTCCGTCCTCCTGAAAGAATGCCTGTTGTTATTAACACATAAACAACCACTTAAATCCGCGTGACGCAGCCCATAATCTCATAAACTAGCGCTTGATGGTAAACCTCTAATTGTCTCGACTGCTTCGGGGATTCCGTTGGAGTCGTATCGGCTTCCTACACAAAACTACAGCAAGCAATATAATGTTTTATATGTTGGGGATTGTCTTGATTAATAACATTAATCACAGCTTGGAAATGGTTCAGCTTAGATGCACTTCATATATCAGCTTGAGAAATCTCATAAACTACAGACGAATGGTTCCAACGTATCGAGAGTTCACTATAGTGCTGAAACCTAACATTTGATGTTCAGAGTTTAAGAATGAGAGAATCGTAGCTGGTTTCTGACAAGCTTGTGTCTCCTTGTGCTGGCCTGTAGTGGAGAGGTGTATGTGCACCATGCAGACCGGCACCCAGATGAGCAAAATGAAGGGGAAGAAGAAAGGACTGGTCCGATTCTTTTACCTCGACGAACACAAGTCCTGCATCCGGTGGCGGCCCTCCAGGAAGCACGACAAAGCCAAAAGTGAGCAACCATCACTATGAAATAACAGTTCTGTGCGTATCTATGAGCTGAGTCCAGTAAAACCAGGTGCTGGAATCTGATCAAACAAAAGTTTAACTAAAGAGGTTGAATCTATTTTTCTTTCATTGAGGCTACAGTACAACCAGGAACCTGTTGTGCTATCACATGTGTTTGGGTGTCGTCTTGTGGCATCTGTGAAGAGTTTCCTCTGCTATTTATTGGTTATTTCAGTCTTTAAAGAAGTCTAAGTGTTGACCTCTGACCTCTTTATTGTAAACCTGATGTTGTTCTGGGCCTAAGTAGTCTAGGAGTAACACTAGTAAATTCACAGCTTGGATTTTGGCTCCCAAACACACGTCGACACATTCAGATTGCTATTAAAACACATTTATCACAAATCTAAATGTGTGTCTTGGGTTCTATAAATCTTGAGGGTAGTTATTTACTCCATCCATATCTTGGTCAACCTGAAAAAAGAATGTGCAATAAATCCGTATTTGATACGAGGATGTAAACAAAGAGAGAAACTAGAACAATGCAGTGGTCAAGGATGAAGAAATAACCACTGTCCCATTTCTTTTTAATGGGAGTGGCTGTAAATTCTTTATTAATACGGATAAACCAGCAGCCTAATAGAGGAATAAGAAGTGGGACAGTCATTATTTTTTCATCTCTACCAGACCGCTGGTACCAACCATCCAGACAACCTGATTTCATTATTTTAATTCTGCCAACACCAGCGCTCCTACTGCAGCGCTCCCTACGTTTCAGGATTAATACGTAGCCACACTAAAGATGAAATAAAACATAATAAATAGGGAAGTTGTTTAATACAAATCAAGTCTCTAAATAATCACAACATAACCTGTAACCTGCCGTCTGTTCTCGTTTCAGTAACCATCGACTCCATCCATGAGGTGTGTGAAGGCAAGAAGTCTGAGATGTTCCGGCACTATGCAGACAACCGCTTCGACCCAAACTGCTGCTTCAGCATTTACTACGGGGAGCGAGTGAAGTCCCTGGACCTGGTGACCACCAACGCAGAGGAGGCCCGGACCTGGATCACCGGCCTCAAGTACCTCATGGCTGGCATTAGTGACGAAGACAGTCTGGCCCGAAGGCAGCGCACTCGTGATCAATATCCTTTATGCAGCTGCTCATCTGTTCAGCCTTTAAATGTGACTACAAACGTTTTATTTGATATCAAACCGATCATTTTTGCCCGGTTCAGCCTTAACTGCGGTCCTACGTGGTTACAGCAGACTTTCTCTGAGGCCGACAAAAACGGCGACGGCACGCTGAGCATCGGAGAGGTTCACCAGCTGCTCCACAAACTCAACGTGAACCTACCCAAGCAGAAAGTCAGGGAGATGTTTCAAGTAAGACCTTCCACATGGCTATTCATGGACGTTTCCATAGATGTAATGTGCATATGACCTACTATCAGCTCCTGTAGCTCCAGGCCACACGGCTACGGAGCATCACTCCCATTGTGTCGGCTTGATTGGTGACTCTACTTGGCTGAAAAAGAAACCAACAAGCCTGAAGGTCAACGCATGAAAAGTCAACCATCTCTGCTACTTTCAGAGTAATAACATCTGTCTGATGACGACTCATCTTCAGGGGAACACGAGCGTCAAAACTAAGTTTTACAGAAAAACATTTGGTAGTTGTTGAGACATTTCACCTAAAGCAAGACTTCACGGTGACGCTAGAGGAAAGGTCAGTCGGGCTCATCCTCTGAGGACCAGGAATGTCAACACAAAGGTTCATGGTAGTAGTTACTGGGAAACAAAAGCTTCATACTGCTATTTACAGAGGCTTGACATGGCTAAAATAAAAAAAAAAAGATTTGTTTGTGTGGGCTGCAAGGTGGTTAGCATCGTTAGCTAGAGGGTCACCGGTTGGCGTCCCGGTGAGGATCTTCCTGCGTGGAGTCTCCATGTTCTCCCTGAAATTGTCCGTAGGTGTGAATGTGAGTGTGCTTGGTTGTCTGTCTCTAAGTGTAGCCCTGTGATAGACTGGTTACCTGTCCAGGTNACTTGGCTGAAAAAGAAACCGACAAGCCTGAAGGTCAACGCATGAAAAGTCAAACATCTCTGCTACTTTCAGAAGGATAACATCTGTCTGATGACGACTCGTCCTCAGGGGAACACGAGCGTCAGAACTAAGTTTTACAGAAAAACATTTATTAGTTGTTGAGACATTTCACCTAAAGCAAGACTTCACGGTGGTGCTAGAGGAAAGGTCAGTAAGGCTCATCCTCTGAGGACCAGGAACGTCAGTACAAAGTTTCATGGTAGTAGTTGCTGAGACACAAAAGCTTCATACGGCTATTTACAGAGGCTGGACATGGCTAAAATACAAATAAAAAAGATTTGTTTGTGTGGGCTGCAAGGTGGTTAGCATCGTTAGCTAGAAGGTCACCGGTTCGCATCCCGGTGAGGACACCCTTCTGCGTGGAGTCTCCATGTTCTCCCCGAAACTGTCCGTAGGTGTGAATGTGAGTGTGCTTGTTTGTCTGTCTCTAAGTGTAGCCCTGTGATAGACTGGTTACCTGTCCTGGTGAACCTGCCTTCACCCTGAGTCAGCTGGGATAGGCTCCGCCCCCCATGACCCTGGTGAGGATGAAGGTGTAGAGATGATGGATGGATGTTTGTGTCAAAATATATAATCTAATACAAAATATTTTTAAACCAGAAAACTAAAAGCATACGGCACCAACAGGACAGAACACGACAGACAAAGTGGCGACGGAAAGAAAAACAGCTTAAAAAAAACAAACCTTGTCAGTAAAATAAATAACGTGTACATGGACTAGACCACTGATGCCACCACCAGAGCTCTTCTCTGTGCGTTCTTTGCATCATTTCAGTCACAGAAGCAGTAAGACGAAGACAGAGCCAGCAGACAAATATGTATATACAGTATTTTGGCGGCGCGGTGCAGGAGAGCGCCACAGGAAGGCCATATGGCCGCCACAGATGGCTTTAGCTGCACTGCAATGCTGCTTTAGTTCAGTGGCTCGCCGGCCTCCTCCCTCCCTCCCTCCCTCCCGATGACAATAGTCTGTGTGAGCGAGCTCTGTTTTGATAGCGAGCGAGATATATCCCTCAGATGGTGGTACATATTTTCTTTGGCAGGGCAGTTATCTCAAATCGCACATGCTGAGAGAGTTATCTCTGGCTCATGGAATAGTTTTGTCACTATCTGCAGGAGGCAGACACGGACGAGAACCAGGGCTCTCTGGGCTTTGAGGAATTCTGCTCCTTCTACAAGATGATTTCCACGCGCAGAGACCTCTACCTGATCCTCATCTCCTACAGCAATCAGAAAGAAGTCATGGATCTGCACGACCTTGCACGCTTCCTGGAAAATGAACAGAAGGTATAAATGAGTCAAAGGAAACCTGCTGATCTGTCGTCTCAGGTGGAAAGAGTACTTATTGCATACGTTATTATACATGTCTTTGTTATTACACATGGACGCCCTGATTTATTTTAATTTTTTTGAACAGCCATTTATTTAATTTATATTCTTTGTCCTACCTTTCTTTACTGTAGTTTTTATTTTTGGTGACCAGCTCATTATTCCCGTATTGGATTCAAATTCAGTGCAAAAAGAGATTCATGGGAACAATGCATGCATGTAGTCCAGAGTTACTGCTCTAAAGGATTTTAATGGATCATTTTCACTGTTGATGATTAATTTAAAATGAAAAAAATAAAATAAAATAACCTAAAAACAGTTAAGACAGTCCCAAAACTTTCCACTTCCAGCACATAGATTTGAATAAAGTCTTGTGGTGTGAACATCATTCTGCACCGTGAAGCTCAAACATCCAACAATCAACATGAACTCCAACATATTCATGACTGAGGAGACGTTAAAAAGCCTGATTAAATTCCTGCTACTGCAAGAAGGAGCATTTATTGCTTCTGATATGTACAAAGCAATGAATCCAAAACCCTGCTGATCTACTTGTAGATGCGCGGCCTGACCAGAGAGCATCTCGTCGACATCGTGGCCAAGTTTGAGCCGTGTCCTGAGAACCTGCAGCGCATGGTGCTGGGCATCGATGGTATGTCCACTATGCTTATAATTAATGTGAGAAGTGAAGCATCTGGCATCTGTGAACTGAACCAGACATGACATCAACGTGGTCTTCTAGGGTTTACCAACTACATGCGGAGTCCTGCAGGCGACATCTTCAACCCCGACCACAACCAGGTGAACCAGGACATGACGCAGCCTCTGAGTAACTACTTCATCTCCACATCACACAACACCTACCTGACAGGAGACCAGCTGCTGTCTCAGTCCAGAGTGGAAATGTACGCCTACGTCCTGCAGGCAGGCTGTCGCTGTGTGGAGGGTAGGAGCCGGCAAAGCCACAACTTTAGCTTGACTTCATGACACGACGGACAGTTTCTCAGCTTCTCTTCTTGTGCTTCTTGTCCCTCAGTGGACTGCTGGGACGGACCAGATGGAGAGCCCATCATCCATCACGGCTACACCCTCACGTCCAAAATTCTCTTCAAGGATGTCGTCGAAACGATCAACAAATATGCCTTCACAAAGTCACCGTGAGTGCTGTTGGGTCTGAAGGCTGGCAAAGGTTTTGTTCAGCTGCACTGTAAAAAAAAACAAAAAGAAATCTGGTAAAATGTTGAAAAGCCAGATAAAGAGTGAAAATCATGACAAATATCTGGAAAATATGGAGACTTTTAGCTCATTTAAATCCAGTAAAACATAATAATTTTATGGTCACACATTGTAAAAGAATAAATAACAGATTTTTGGTGCGTTATGTCCAGTTTTGGCCTGTTTATGTTAAAGTGATGCTGTTGGTCTCTGAGGTCTGTAACAAAACAGAGAACCTGTTTTTAAAAAACTATTTTAATCCTTATGCATAATTTTTCTTTCAAGCAACAGCAAATATCTGTAAATAACAATAATTTATGCAGATTTAATTACAGGAAAAATAATAGCATAATATTATTATTTACAGTTTGGGCCTGTTTTTTATATTTAACATGTACATTGAAAATTATAATTTTACTAGTTATTATCTAGATTGTAAGAAAACAGATGAAATTTGTAAGATAGCAGTAAATTTAAGAAGTTTTTTTAGTTTCTTTCTTTCTTTTTTTTTCTTTTTTTTTTACAGTGTGTTGCTGTTAAAAAACAAAAACACATGAACCTTGTAGAACCTTGTAGAACCTTGTAGAACCTTGTAGAACCTTGTGCGTCACACTGGCTCTGCCCTTCATGCCTCCTCGTCTCGCCCTCAGGTACCCGGTGATCTTGTCCATAGAGAACCACTGCACTGTGCCTCAGCAGAAGAAGATGGCTGAGTATCTGAAAGAGGTGCTGCAGGACAAACTGGACCTGACCAACGTCAACGTGCACGAATGCAAGAAGCTGCCGTCCCCGGAGATCCTGAAGGGGAAAGTTTTAGTCAAGGTACAGCTGTAGGCATGTATATTCAAACCTGAGCTAAAACGCATACATGGATGTGAAATGTCCAATCGTTCAATCTTCAGGGAAAGAAGCTGCCGGCAAACATTGAACCTGACGCAGAGGAAGGTGA